CTGATATTGTATTTTAAAAGGTTTTCCTATAATATTGAATCTGTTTCAGGTATGTACTTGATGGGGTGCCCCGAATGAGGGAGAGACCAATCGGAGACTTAGTTGATGGTCTTAAGCAGCTTGGTGCGGATGCTGATTGTTTTCTTGGAACAAACTGCCCTCCTGTCCGTGTGATTGGAAAGGGAGGCCTTCCAGGAGGGAAGGTGTGGTTTGCATTATCTTGTACATTTATGGTTGTTCTGTAATGCCTGCAGTTTTGATGCACTTAATCAATTCAATCCACACTTTATCTGTTGTTTTCAGGTGAAGCTCTCTGGATCAATTAGTAGTCAGTACTTGACTGCTTTGCTTATGGCAGCTCCTTTGGCCCTTGGAGATGTTGAAATAGAGATTATTGATAAACTAATTTCCATTCCGTATGTGGAAATGACTTTGAAGTTGATGGAACGCTTTGGGGTCTCAGTGGAACGCAGTGATAGTTGGGATCGGTTTTTGATCCAAGGAGGTCAAAAGTACAAGTATGTTTTATTCAATATATTGCTGAACCACTATGTGATATATGATTGCATTGTGTAACAAAATGAAAAATATATCTATCAGGTCTCCTGGAAATGCTTTTGTCGAAGGCGATGCTTCAAGTGCTAGTTACTTTCTAGCTGGTGCTGCTGTCACTGGTGGGACTGTCACTGTTGAAGGCTGTGGGACAAGCAGTTTACAGGTAATTTCTGGGACCAATATCTTCTTATTCTGTTCACTTCCCAGTGTATGAATGATAGATTTTCAGATTGATGGGCCAACCTATTTCCCGATCGTAATTACACATTTCCAACCATCGCTTGGATGGTTTTTGAAAAAGAGTTATCACTTCGAGAAAATATGACATCTTATAACCTTTTTGGTTTCTCTTAATCAAGGGAGATGTAAAGTTCGCTGAAGTTCTTGAAAAGATGGGTGCTAAAGTTACATGGACAGAGAATTCTGTCACAGTTACAGGACCTCAACGACTTTCTTCTGGAGGAAAACACTTGAAAGCTGTTGACGTCAACATGAACAAAATGCCAGATGTTGCCATGACTCTTGCTGTAGTTGCTCTTTTTGCCGATGGACAAACTGCCATAAGAGATGGTATGGTCTAGTCTTTTTCCTGTGAATGGCTTGTGCATAATATTTTCGTTGTTAGTAGACAATAAAGAAAAAGGGTGGGTGGAGTCCGCATAGGTGTTTAGAACTGGTAAATAGACAAGTAACAAATCAATCTCGTGGTTAATGGATCCATGCTAAAATATAGAGGCTCCTTCGGTAAGATGAAAGTAGAAAAATCTTTTTCTTAACAGTTAGAAGTGAGGATGAATATTTTCCGGGTTGAGGCCCTTGCTGATACATATATCATTCAAGATTAATCTTTTTGCGTATCTGAGCAGAATGCTCATGGTTTTAAAAGTAGTTCATATTATTAAAAAATAGCATGTGAAAACAATCACAAAGGTCTGCTTTGACTTCTTGAGTTCTTATCATCAGTGGCAAGTTGGAGAGTGAAGGAGACAGAAAGGATGATCGCCATATGCACTGAACTAAGAAAGGTTCGTTTTAGTTGGCTGCCCTCACACTTGATATTCCCACACCTTCATATGCTTGTTACTTCTCTAACATTTTTCGGACCTAAATTTCAGCTGGGAGCAACCGTTGAAGAGGGACCAGATTACTGCATAATCACACCGCCAGAAAAATTAAACTTGACAGCAATAGACACGTATGATGACCACCGAATGGCCATGGCTTTCTCTCTTGCTGCCTGTGGAGACGTTCCAGTTACTATCAAGGATCCCGGTTGTACCAGAAAAACATTCCCCGATTACTTTGAAGTCCTCAGGAAGTTTACCAAGCATTGAACAGTGGTTATAAGATATATTTATCTGTAGATAGGGAGAGAGAGGGATTGTCCTTGTGCCTCTACAGCCAAAGAAGTGCAGATGGAAGCCACACTTGTTTCAGTTTCTCTTTATTCCCCTGTAATTTTGGATGATTTGTCTTTGCAAGTTGAGCTCGTTATTGTTTCTAATATTTGTGATCTGATTCTACTCAATATTGGTGATTCATGATTTGGTTCGTGGGTCTTCTTTTGTACCTTTCTTTGGGACAAACTTGATGTCAAGAAAGGCATACGTTGCTCGGTTTGTTAAGTATTTGGTTCAAAGAATTTGCAATGCAATTCTGCTGTTTCCGTTCCAGAGTCTTTCTTTACATAATGCAGTGTCTGCATTTCTTAATCTGAACATTTCGAAATTGAACAACATTCATGGCTGTTCGGTCATCGCTTTCGCCCTTTTTATTCATGGCTGTAGCAGATGGACGCTTCATTACCTTTTCTGGATAGTTGGATGGTTCGTTCGGTTAGAGCTTCAGCTTCTACAGCAGAGAAGCCGTCAACAGTGACAGATAGTGTTGCAGCCCACCAGAGAAATCTCGGGCACCGTAAAGATTGTGGCGGTTTAATTAGCTGATTTTAGTTAATTTTAAGGGTTGCAAGTTTAAATTCATTTTTTGTTTGTATAATTATCCCATTAGCACCTTTCTTTGAATCCGTATGAGGCAAAATGTCTTCCAATTAGAACACATATACGTAGCATTGAGTGGTACGAAAAATTAATGTTTGAGATTGAAAATATAATATTTGTGGAAATCAAATTTAACGGCTAAAACACTCGACACTGAGTGCTACGTGTGGAGCCAAAAATAATCACAAGGCAACATGTGGATTTTTTGACAAAAAAGGACAAAAATACCCTTGCGGTACAACGGGATTTCTACGCGTGAGCAGCGGGCAACCATCCTTCAACCAAGTCAAAAGTGCCCAAAATAGGTAACAATTAAAGCATATTTCATCAAATCCTTTCTATAAAGTAATTCCTAAAACCTAATTTATTCCATATATTTTCTATTTCATTATTTAGCTAATCAATTAGCAAAATAATATATTCCTTTCATATTTCCTAAAATTTTCCTTTAAAAACATAATAATTGACTAATTAAGGGATTAATTGCCTAATCAATCCCCTAGTTGTCAATTAAATCACTCTTCAATCACCCATTCAACCCCAAAAACAAGTCAAAGGCCGGCCATCCCCATTCAAAAAGGAGTCCACCATACTGTCTACCTTTTTTTTTTATTTTTATTATTTCTCCCTTTTAATTACACTAATTAGCTAGCCAATTAATTTCATAACCACCAAAACATTCCCTTTATATTTAATTAGCAAATTAATCATAATAAATTGGCTAATTAAACCAAAATTAAACCCAAAAACCTTACCTAATGGCCGGCCACTCCTTCAAAGAGGGCCGGCCTATCCCTATAAATAGGCTCCCATTTTCACCAAAAGATCATTCCAACACACTTGCAAAATTCTCAATACTTTCTAAACACTTTTCTCTCTAAATTCTAACTTTGGCATCGGAGGTTCCTCGGCCAAAGCCCCCCCATTCATCGTGGGCGCGTGAGGCTCTTGGCCTTGACCCTAAGGTGTTAATTGTTTTGTAGGTGCAACTTTGTCCAAGATCAAGGAGGAAGAAATTTGCATCCACACTACGTAGCATTAAAAGACTCGACACTGAGTACTACGTAGCATTGAGTGCTACATAAGATTAAAACACTCGACATTTCTTTCACTAAGGATGTAGTTGTCAACCATTTCTTTCTTGATGACAACTTAAAAGGAGGCTGAACTAGAAGGGATACAAGATAAACCAGTATCTTGAGTGTTTTGGCATCTGAAATTTACTTGGGGATCAAGTAATTGGACAGAAGACGATACTATCCTGGTAGACACAACTATTGTTGTATAGTTCAGGGAACAACTTGCTAGATAGTGATGATATTCATTATATGATTGGTGTACTGAAAATCATTGGGATAAATGTGGAAGAAGATAAGGCATACAAACGAGCGTTCGTGGAGGGTTGTGGTGGTCGGTTTCCCTCAGGGAATGAATCAAGAGATTGAGTTCAAGTGTTCAGCTTTTTCTTGGAACTGCTGGAACAGCAATGCGATCATTGACTGCTGTACTTGGAAACACGAACTGGAAAAGAAAAAAAGCAGGCATCACCCACCTTCGATGCTCGAAAAGAAGGCAGCATATATCCAAACACCACCAATTTGGATCTTCTTGTACCCTGCAAATCTTGCTCAAGCACCAACACTTCAAGCATGCGTTTTCTCTAATCTCAATCTGCTTTCCCTGCATATTTTTTTTTTCATCACCGTTGTTTTTATATCCGGTTTTATAATTCACTACAAACTTTGGATGTTAAACATATTTCAGGCATGTACTTGATAGGGTGCCCGGAATGAGGGAGAGGCCAATTGGAGATATGGTCGCTGGTCTTAAGCAGCTTGGTGCGGATGCTGATTGTTTTCTTGGAACAAACTGCCCTCCTGTCCGTGTGATTGGAAAGGGAGGCCTTCCAGGGGAAAGGGTGTGGTTTGCTCGTCTTTTATATTAATGGTTGTTGTTTAACTGGTAAGTTTTTGATCAAATGCTACGATGCATAGATACGGACACGGATACGAGGATACGACACGATACGACACGGGGACACGTCAAATTTCTAAAAACGAAGACACGATACGTTTGGGATACGGCAATTAAAAATATATATAAATATATCTAAAATACTTTAAAATAAGCATTCAAATTTATTACTCAAATTTAAATTTATTTCAATAAACTCCAAATAGTTAGAAAGATAGTCCATCCAACAAGCAATTAGTCTTCAAACTTGAAAAATTAAAATGAACATCCAAACTAAAATTAAAAAAACAAAGTCTCATTCAACTTCCACGTTCATGATGTCTCCTCTAGTAACTAAAGTAGTCTCCAATGACGGTTCATCTAGTAACTAAAGTAGTCTCCACATTCATGAAAGCATATCCATAAATATTATAATCTAAATATCATGAAAGTACAATATTATATTATTTATAATACACAAAATACAAAATAATATTATATACAAAAAGCAATCAGATTGAACAGGTTTTCAAATCAATCAGATTGAACAGAGGCTTTCTTTTAGCTTCGAATAAAAACAGAAACAGGTTGGGGCTTTTAGGTTCGAAAAAAAACAGAAAAGGGTTCTGTACAGATTGAGTTTCAAAATTAACAAAGTGAAAACGAAGTCGAAGGCTCTCACCAGCATTTGCAGACGGAGACGATGGAGACGACGGATTAGTTGCAGACGGAAACGATAGAGACGACAGACGGACGGAGCAATTGCAGACAACAAGTCTGATTTCTGAGGTTCGAAATCGTTTTGGTTTTTAGTTAAACAATCGTTTCAGTTATCTAATTCGAATCAATCACGATTCTGTGCGGAATCCGTATCCTCTGATTTGGATTTTTTTTCCTGATTATCCTCAGATTTTGTTTGAAACGTATCCGAAAATTATGATACGCGTATCTCGACAGTATGATACGCGTATCTCATCAATAAAGAACGTATCCCTTCATTCTGATACGTATCGGGAGCGTATCCGTGCGTATTATGTACGTATCCGTATCCGTGCGTGTCAGATACGGGATACGTTGAGTTTTCCCCGTGTCCATGCATCGTAGATCAAATGCAATGTAAAACCATAAAAATAAAAATAAAAATTTGCTGCCTTGCATGCCAAAATCCTGATTTTCCTATCCGGATCCACTCCTATTTTGGCCTGCCGAGGCGATGAGATTCATCAGTTTAATTCAAACTTTATTATATATTGTTTTCAGGTGAAGCTCTCTGGATCAGTTAGTGGCGTATACTGGACTTCTTTGCTTATGGCGTCTCCTTTGGCTCTTGGAGACATCGAAATTGACATTGTCAATAGACTCGTTTCTAGTCCTTTTGTGGAGATGACTTTGAAAGTGATGGAACACTTTGGTGTCACATTGCAACATAACGATATTTTAGATTGATTTTTCGTCCAAGGCGGTCAAAAGTACAAAGTATGTTTTATTTAGCCGAACCGCTGTGAGAAATATTGTTTTCTTGTGTGTAACAAAATAAAAAGAATATACCAGGTCTCCTGGGAATGCTTTTGTCGAAGGTGATGCTTCGAGTGCAAGTTACTTCCTAGCTGGTGCTGCTGTCATCAGAGGAACTGTCACTGTTGAGGGCTGTGGTATTTTGCACACACCAATATATTTTTGTTTAATTCAGCGTATGCATAAAACAAATTTCAGATTGAACATATTTAGATGTTTTCGAATAATTTATTTCCAAATTCGTAGTTACAACTATCTATTAGACGATTTGTGAAAATAGTTGTGAATTATGCATACAAAATTCAAGTAATCTAATGACTTTCCTCGTACTTGATATTCCTAAACCTTTTCTCTAACATTTTCGGACGTAAAAATTTCAGCCGGAGCAACGGTTGAAGAAGGATCAGATTACTGCATGATCATACCGCCGGAAAAACTAAATGTGACATGAATGAACATGTACAACGACCACAGACAGGCCATGGCATTCTCTCTCGCTGCATGTGGAGATGTTCCGGTTACCATCAAGGATCCCGGTTGTACCAGTAAAACATTCCCTGGTTGCTTTCAAGTCCTTGGGAAGTTTACCAAGCATTGGACAAAGCAATGCAGATGTAATTTTGGATGCTTACATTTTTCAAGTAGAGCACATTAATTAGTTTTTCTAAGATTGTGGTCTTATTCCACTCGATATTATTGGATTAATTAGTTTTTCTAAGATTGTGATCTTATTCTACTCGATATTAATTATTGGATTAGCAATTAGTGCTTGGATCTGCTGACCTTTTTTTATTTTTTATACGAGTTGATATTGGGAGAAAGCAGAATTTTGTGTTCAATTCTTGACCGTATGATGAATGATCTTAACTAGTTGAGTTACAAGTTTTTTACAATCTTCAAACAACTCTTTCTTTCTTGTGTTTGACTTCCGAACGTACGGATGAATATTCTTGACGAGTTGAGCTACTAGCTCTTTACAATTTCCAGAACCACCATTTCTTTCTTTTTATAAAAAGGTAACTGGAAAAGTAAATCTTGCGTTTGACTATCGCGCACATATTGAATGCTCTTTAACCAGTTTAGATATAAGCTTCTCACGATCTACGAACTACCGTTTTTTTTGATACAGGTGCCAAGCAAAATCTCGTATCGACTCTCGAGCGTATAAATAAATGTTTTTAACCAGTTAAGATACACGCTGGTTACGGATTTGTAAACCCTTCCTCTGGTCTACCTTTACATGTGATAAATGGCATCAGATTTGTCTTGGGGCAAACTCTAAACCGACAGTCCACCCAAAAGCACATTTTGTTAGGCCCTGCATAGTACATAGGTTTGCAGGAGCACCGTCCAGAATCCACATATCCACTAAATTGTGAGGGTGTAGGGCATGATTGCAATATACTTTATCAATAAACTACAAGTTGGGGGCGGGGTAGATTTAATCACGTGTCCGTGTCCGTGTCCGTGTCCAGCTAGCTGCTTAGATTAAATTGCAGGGCATGGAGCACGATGCCAGCTTATTAAACAAAAAGGACTAACAAGACGTGTTCCTCTGTCTTCTTTTGCATCAGTTTCACATGCAGACGGTGGTGATTGTCCGATGCAGCAAATAAATCTATTGAGTTATTAATGGTTGTTTGTTAAGATCCGTTTAATTTGATATTATCATAATATAGAGATAAGGTGGTAGTGACGATGATGGCGTAAAATGAGATCAAACTAAATAGATCTTAATTAGTACTCATTAACAATTTAATAAGTTAATTTACCACAATGACCGAGTAACTATTTCACATTTTTCAATAGTCATTTCCACCAAGGTCACTGGATTAAGTAATCCAAACCTTTAAAATTTCATTCAATAGCCCACATGTTTTGATGCCTTAAAAGTTATAATAATTTTTTGTCGTTGCATGAAATAATTTTTGGGCGGTGAAACATCAACACGTACACATAATGGGTGTAGCGGAGATGAGGATGTTTCGTTGGAGATGTGGGCTCATGAGAAAGGATAAGATTAGGAATGAGTGGGTTGGACATGTGCAAAGAAGGCCTACTGACGCTCCAGTTCGAAGATGTGACTACGGGACAGAGGTTCATGGCCGAAGGGGTAGAGGAAGACCTATGAAAACTTTGGAAGAGATCCTAAGAAAAGATTTGGAGTACTTGGATCTAACGGAGAACATGACACAAAACCGAGCGCAATGGCGTTCTAGGATTCACATAACCGATCCCACTTAGTGGGAAAATGCTTTGTTGTTGTTGTTGTTGTTGTTGGATGAAATATTAAAGATCCGGATCATTTAATTCAATGATCTTGATGGAAAAGATCAGGAGATGATGACTTTCTTTTTCAACAATGCACACTGAATCTTGAGGATCAAAAGTACTTCAAGTTGCAGTGTTCTTGGCATATTTTGGTTGCTGTGCTACGATTTATGGCATCTTGTTTTACATATTCTTCTTGGTTATATGATGTGACGTGAGATTGATGACTGTAGTTCTTCGGGTTTATGGATTATTTTACGATTTTAGTGGTTTTGAGTTGCATGGACTTGACTAATTTTACGATTAAGTGTTGATATTATCTCAAACTTGATCACATGTGCAATTTTATAGGTGTGGAGTTTTTTTTGCAAAAGACCTCGATTCATTTAGTAGTGAATCAACAGTCTTCCGATGTGCAATTTTAATTTAATGAATTTTTCTGATGTGAGACATATGCTTCAACAGTTTTCCATTTCGAACTTTTTGTTTTTCGTATCCGGTTAGACCTGGTGTATGATGTAATGTTGAAGTTTATATAATGAAGTTATTTCTTTTGATAAAAAAAATGCACGGAGTTATTGTGTAAATGGTGTATGGAGAAGTAACAAGGGTTTATTGAGAAAAAATTGAATGATGCTTTGACATAACACTTGTTAAAGAACTTAGGTGAATCACAAGTAAAAACTTTTAACAAGTAATAAATTTCAACTCGAGAATGTATGTCGCTCATCTTGTCACGTGACATAGAAGTTTTCACCTAAAAGTTCTTCTCAAGGTTTTATTCTTTACATAAGGGCTAACAAAGGAATAAAGAAAAGAAGGGAAAAATGTTATTCCCTAATAGCAAACAGCAATAGCCAGGAAAAAAGGCAGATAAAAAGGGGTTGGAAATGGTTGTTCTCTTTTCAAAATGTAAGAGTATGCATGCAATGTATTATCATAATTAAAGAGTATGCTGTTGTAGGGAAGGTGGGGCACAAATATAGGTGTGATTTCTTCACCATCACTATTCCTACATTTTGAGTTGAGATTGTTATCAACCCACATGATACATGCTAGCCTTGGCATGCCATAAATTGCACTATAAGATACCAATAATACTTCTTGGAAATATGCTTTTGCCTTCATTTCAAGTAAGTCCTTTCATTACTAGTACTAGTCACATTTGACTCTCTCCTTGCATTTTCTCTTCCTACAAGTCATTTTTTTTTTTTCCGAGCAAATCGCAGTATCTTATGTACGCAAAAACAACTCATTATAAACACAAAAGAAAAAAATTGTGCACTGGAACTGTCAGGGGTGGATGGAAATAGGAACCAAGGTAGTCTCAGGACCACCCAAGTTTGGAAAACATACACGTTTCGGTCTTCCGAGGACCCTCCGAATGTTATATTGAAGTTTTTTGTATTTTTATAAAAACTTGTTGAGAATTTTGAAATTATATTAACACCTCTTGAAATTTAAAATTGATTTCACAAAACTCCGTCCGTTAAAATTTCATCCAAAAATTTATCATATCATAGAAAGTTATTGACATGATAATTTTAGCCTTAGAGGTAATGACGCGGCCTACTAAATATTTGATATAATGCATGTTAGACATATCCCGACATGTTGCGTCAACATCACTCAACAAGTTCTTTGTATATCACTTATCAAATTGCTTCATCATATTCCAATATTCGTTGACATGTGCACAACAAGCCGACCAAGTGAATAAACTGATTTTTTCTTTTTACGCCCTATTACTATCTAAAAAAACATTGTGTTTAACAATGGGACCCTCCAAGATTCAAATCTTGGATCCACTACTGGAGTTGTAACTTGTCTTAAAAAAATGTGTTCTTTTAAGTAAGGGCAAAGTATACTTCGAACAATGTGGCATAAAAATGAAAATGATAAACCGATGACAAGGTTGATATACGCATCTACTATGATATGTATCATTTGTGTCTATCTCACTTCTCACACGATGTAAGTAAGTCCGTCTGTCATGATAACGATAAGGATAGAAAAGCTTCTTTGCCACATCAATGTGCAATTGCATATAAAAGCGTTGAACAATCACACATGACAATCACAATCAGCTTAAGATCGAATTTTAAGCTCACCTGCCACAAAATCGAAAATTTAAATAAATATGTAAAACAATGTTTTATTTTTTATTTTATTTTTAATAATCGATATTATCTATACTAAGAGCAGGGGATGGGTTTAGCCTCACAATGAGCTAGTAATAATATAGTTCAAATTCATCTTTGGTGAGAATCGAACATAAGACTTCTTACTTACAAGTGAAGAAAAATACTAATAGACCGTAGTACTAAGTGACTATAAAAAAATGCTTTGAAATACAAATTACAATCATTATGTATTTATATGACCCAACATAATTATGATCAACTAAATAATCCAAGGAAAAAAACATTAAAATTAAAACATTGGACAAGTTGTAGAGGAACATTAAAATTAAAATATTGGACCACTCTCCCTTTGAAATTCTTCAATTTTGTTAGTTTTATTATTTGTGTAATATGTTAATAGAAGATAGATAGAGACATGATCTTTTTTTTTTTGTTACAAGTGACCACTGACCACATTGGCACATTACATATACCAATTGCTTTCACTCTTAGGACAAATTTTGGTATGTGATGTGAAGTAAATAACGCGTGACATGTTGATCTAACTACAATTTTACTCAAATTATAATATACAGAACAAATTTTAGGCTTACAACTCTCTGTGTTTGAGGTTTAATAATTAGTAATTGTATAAATTATATAGTTTGGGTGGACTTTGTAACATCTAGGCAAGAATATGACGTAGTGTTAGGAAACTTACGATTTCATTGAAAATTTAGTCCGATGGAGTCAATATGAAGAAATGTAGAGAAACTCCCATGGTTGATTCAATTATTGTAGTGATTGATTGCAGATTACTCTATGTAATTATTACCATAACTCTCCCTTTTATGAGAAAATTGCAATTCCTCATCCCAAAATTTGCATATTTTAAGCGAAATTTCACATTTTTTTTTTGTAGTCATATTATTGTTTAATTTTGTTGTTAAGACATTGTGAGATGTCGAGTGCAATAAAAATAATTTTAATTTTTTTGCTTTTGGGGGCTAGAGCATCTCCTCAACTGAAGATGCAAATTGCCTTGGAATGGCATTTCACATTTTTTGTTGGTGGAAAGCTCTCTAGTGGGAGATATTTTTCAATGTTCTTCGAACACGGATGATACACCATATAAGGTGATTAAAAAAAGAGTCGGTGACCATTTGGAATGTTAATAATAACCTTGAAGAAAAACATACAGGATAATAGGTGATTAAAAGTACATGAGATGCGGTGAAAACACTACACTAGACATATGAATAATGATCCATGCAGG